ACCCTCCTGCTTTCTCCTCGGCTGTTTCCGCCGGTGCCTCTGCGCAGTTGGGCCGCAGAGCGGTTGTAGAAGCGGGCGGGGGCATGCAGGTGGGAAGTGGCGGCAGCCTCCGGCTCCTTAGGGTCATGCATGAGGGAGTCAGAGAAGGCCAAATGCAGCAGGGCTCGGCTGAGGAGGCAGTGGTGCCGTCTTGCGCGCTCTCATAGAGGACGATGGCCACCTATCGTGTGGCCTCCGCCAGGGCTTCTGTGCCGCCCTGCCTCTCCCAGGCCAACGAACGGACTCAGAGGGCGGGTGGCAATGTGGCCTGGGGGCCCTGGGACGGGCCGGACGGAGCAGTTCCCGGTGAGTTGTCAACTGGGCCAGCCAGCCCTCGGTGTGTGAACATCCGGCAGGCCCCCCCGGCTGCCAGCAAGGCAGCCACTTGACAGGTGTGGGGCTTGCCCCTGCTGGGCCACAGATGCGGAGGCCAAAGGGCTGGTGGAGGGGGACCCCCAACATTACAAGGAAAATGGTTTCCTGGGGCCGTTGGCCAGCGCTTCTCTCCCTGCCCAGGTTTCTGAACGTTTCTGGCGTTTTGCTTCCCCCCATCTGCCAGTTGGCCTGCTCACCCTCCAGCTGGCGGAGCGTCCATCCCGTCAGTCGGCTCAGAGCACACTAAACCCGAGACGCTGGCGGCCGCCTCTGTGGGCAGGACGAAGGCAAGGCAGCCAGCCAATGCAGCAAAGGGATTGGCAGACCTTCAGAGTGGCAGCTGAGGGATCCAAAAGCTGTGGGAGCATGTGGAGCGTTCACACCAAAACTCTTTTATATATAAGGAGAGATGTATTTTCTCAATCAATAGATACTAATTGTACAATTACTATTGTGTGGTGGGTCTGCGAATTTTTTTGATGTTAAAACTGGGTCCTCATACTCAAAAAGGTTGGGGACCACTGCTTTTGAACATCATTAAATATTACATCACCCAGTTGCAGAGAGAATCAAGATGCAGAAAGACTTTCCTGACATTGCAAATTAGCCATTGTACTAACATTTGGTTTATTATTCTATTTATTTATTTATTTATTTATTTTTGGGGTTTATATCCCGCCCTACCTGTACAGCCCAGGGCGGCAGTATAGGTGAAAAGATGAATGTAAAGTTCCCATCAAAACTTTGCAACTTTTTGACTGCTACCCCCTACTGGGCATATTAGGTAAACATAAGCAGCATCCTCAGTCACCTTTTTAAACAAATTCTCAGGAAAATTCTGCCCTTGTTGTTGGGAAGGAATTATGTCTCACTGCTACATCAAAACTGCAAGTAATGATACTTTTCTGTCTAAACAAGCTGTCCGAATTTCTTCCACTTAAATCCACTGAAATAATTAGTAAGACATCAGCAGAGAATGGGATTAAATGTCTGACATCACAACCTGTTCTAGAACTTTTTAGTCCAACTTCAAGATCTCCAAGTATGCAGAGCCCTTAGGGCAGTGGTGGCGAACCTATGGCACGGGTGCCAGAGGTGGCACTCAGAGCCCTCCCTGTGGGCATGCGTGCCATCGCCACAGCCAGGCCCAGACCATCATTAAAGTGTCGAATTCCCTGCCAAATAATTTTAAGTAAATGAAATCATTTGGGATTGCTTTCCTTACTTTGTTTGGATCATCTTAAGTTAATGTATGAGTTGTTTTTTCTAAAGTAAAACCTCAGTATTCAGGTTAAATCGCCGTGTTGGCACTTTGCGATAAATAAGTGGGTTTTGGGTAGCAGCTTGGGCACTCAGCCTCTAAAAGGTTCGCCATCACTGCCTTAGGGCATAGAAAACTAGTGGAAAGACAACTGGAGCAAAATTATAAGATGGGCCCTGAGCAGATGGAGAGGAGAGGTAGAAAACTAATAAATGAGTTTTGGAATGTATTTTCAGAATTGCAGGACATCTGTTTAAGAATTTGCACTGTACAGATACAGCGGGGCTCAGGTTGAAAGAAGATTAATTCAGAGAAACCCTACATAAAGCACAAAGCTGTACAGACTGAACCAAGCAAAACTAAGTCTGTAAACCAAGTAATCAGTATTTTATTATTAGTAAAGTCTCTGGGGCTTCCCCATGGTGCTCTTGATATACAAGGCACGTACATTTTGCCAGTTTTTCTTCAGCAATGACACAAGGAAATTGATAGCCAAGTGAATGTTGTACACTAATTCATCTTCTGCCATTTTTGCATGACCAACAGCTACAGCCAGGCATAGCACCTGAAAAGAGAAAATGGCATACTTGCTTAACATTATAAATGAGGAAGAGATTGAATTTATACCCCGCCCTTCACTACCCAAAGGTGTCTCAGAGCGTCTTACAAACTCCTTTCCCTTCCCCTCCCCACAACAGACACCCTGTGAGGTAGGAGGAGCTGAGAGAGCTCTGACAGAAACTGCTCTTTTTCAAGAACAGCTGTGCCAGAACTATGGCTTGCCAAAGGTCATCCAGCAGGTGCAAGTGGAGAAGTGGGGAATCAAACCCAGTTCGCGCACTTAACCACTACACCAAACTGATCACAAATACTAGTATACCAAGTTATCTGTTATATCAACAGGGGAAGACTAAGCAGCTAATTCCAGACAGGCTAACATGAAAACAAAACCTTCTAAACTTTCTAGGAATGAGGGCAAGGACTCAAGAGACAGAATTGGAAAGGAAATATTTTGCAGTCTCTGGTGCAACATCCTTTCCCATTAAGAGATGATATTGATTAGAACATGAGTTTTGAGTTGTGGCCATACAGAATAAGTTATCCTCTGAGAAAAAACCTTGTAGCTAGTACAATATACCTAAACTTGCTTTCAAAGTGCAGCTGATGTGGCTCTCACTGTATCTTCGGAGAACTTGAGAGGACAGAGCCCTCTATGGGGCACATGTCATTACCATGTCGTGCACTTTGAAAAGGGCTGTCCAGCACATGGCAAACACCCCTGAGGAAGAGGGGTTCATGACTTGGAGGTTCATGAAAATTTAAAAATCAAAATGGGGGTCCCTGGGTTTCTAGTATTCTAGACAGTTAGATATGGATCACAGATAGTTCTCTGAAGGAACACCTGCAGTCATGGCTCTTATGATATAAATATTTCATAAAGGTTCCATCATCAGAATCTTTATCAAAATTATTTACCTTCTTCATTTGAAACTTGATAGTGGACTTGACCTCATCAACTTTGGCCACCATGTTCTCATTATGAGTGAGAAGAGAAGGAAACTTGCCAGCTTTGTTCAGACCCGGTCCTAGGATTCGAGGAATCTGCTTAATCAGGGACTCTGAGGCCAGGAAAGCATCATACTTCTTTGCTGTAGAAAATAATCAAAAGTGTTTTTATATATTGCTACATTCTCAAATCTATGGCACAGCTTAACTTTTTCCATAAATAAGTTTTCCCTTTGTTTCTCACAACAAGCCAACACAAGTAGTATAAAGCAGGGATACTACACAACTGCAATGTGATGCATATTAAGACTTGCTTAAAAAGTCACTATATAGGAATGAAACATGGAAAATTCAGAAAGATAACATGCAACATGTGCTCTATGCAGGGCGACCCTTGAGACTGAGCAGGAAATCACAGCTGGTCCAGAATGCAACAGCGCATGTTCTCACAGGAACACCATTAAGAGCCCATATACAACCAGTGCTCTGCCAGCTGCACTGGCTCCCAGTTGGGTCCTGGATCAAATTCAAGGTTTTGGTTTTGACCTTCAAAGCCCTATGTGGTCTGGGACCAACATACCTTCAGGACCGTCTCTCTCGGTACGTCCCTCAAGGAGCATTACACTCAACAGACCAACACTTGCTGGTTATCCCCGGCCAAAAGGAGGTCCGCTTAGCCTTGACCAGAGCCAGAGCTTTTTTGGCTCTGGCACTGGCTTGGTGGAACACTCTCCCAGGTGAGATCCAGGCCCTGCGGGACTTATTAGTTTCACAGGGCCTATAAAATGGAGATGTTCTGTCAGGCCTATGGTTGAGGCACCAGACCTCTACTAGTATTGGCTTCCCCAGCACACTCCAGTGCATTCTATCTTATATTCCATCTTTTATGAGTTTTGCTCACCTGCCCACCTCCTGCAATACTGGTCTACCATTTGTTATGCACATATGTGGATACTCCTCAGCAAGTTATATTTGGTGGCACAAATGGAATTATTTTATATATGATTGTACAATTACTGATATTGTTGATTGCTTATCCTAATTTATTATATTGTACTGTATTGCAATATTGTGATTACTGAATTGTAACCCACTCTGAGCCCTGCCATGCAGGGGAGGGCAGGCTAGAAATTTAATTTAAAAAAATATATATATTATATGAAAGTACCAGCATGGGCTCAAAAGTCACAATTAATCCTGGCTTCTTGGCACATGTACAAGGAGTCGAAATTAAAACCTTAACTTGCAAGCTACATATAAAAGAGAGAACAAAGGTTTGCAAAATTATACACACACAACGTGAACCAGAAAGTATGTGACTCTCAACATCCTGGCTTGTGACTCTCAATCCTGGCTTGTTGTCAAGCTGAGTTTCGTTTCTTTGCATTTCACTTCACTGCTTCCCATGATATAGGGGGGAGGGAAAGCATGAGATGTGGGGTGTTGTTTTACCTATAACTGGGGATTTTCCGCGTGTTTTCTCAGTTCTGACAAAGAGTGTGTTTCCAAAAGTAAGCAAATCTCAAAAAACTATCACTACTTAAGTGTGTTGTGGAGAGTGCCTTTACTGGGAGACCTGACACTTGTATGCCAAATTTTCACACTGTTCGCTTCCAAAGTAAACTAAGCACATTCATTCCATACAATAAAAAGTATGCTTTGAGAAGGTGGTAGACCCCAAAGTGCAGTATAATCTTAATTTATATAGAAGTCATGTCTCATGGTACTTCATTACCATTTGGTCTTTAATATTTCAGCTCATATGTGGCTACAGTTTGGTGTAGTGGTTAAGTGCACAGACTCTAATCTGGGAGAACTGTGTTTGATTCCCCACTCCTCCACTCGCACCTGCTGGATGACATTGGGCAAGCCATAGTTCTGGCACAGCTTATGATGATTCCTTGTGTTAGAGTGTGTGTGTCTCTTTAAAGGTTTGGTTGCAGTGCAGAATGCAGAGTAGAATGATGGAAAGGGACATATAAAGTATTATTGGTGGATGGCAAAGTGTGGGAGGAATTAGCCTGTGTGGATCTGTGTGGGTGTGTCAGTGAGAGATTGGAGAATGACAGTTGGAATAATAGTTGGTGAAAAAGCAGTGGATGTTGTTCAGTTGAATATCAGTCAAGGAGACCCCTGACAATGCTGTGTGGCGTCAGAGAGTGAGAGAGACTAAAGAATCTATGTGGGATCCGAGAAGGATCAGTATATGTGTGTTAAAGTGCTACAATGGACAAGTTCATTTACAGAAAACTTATTCCCAACCAGTTAAATAATTACCAACTTCTTATTTTGTTCCCCTTTCAATAAATCCTATTTTATTTTAAAATATCCCAGAATTTATATTAATTCTTCCTCTGGACCGCAATAGATTCCTGAAAAGCCTTGAGCCTGTGTTACCCTACCAATAAGAGAAACAGAAGGTTTGGAAATCCTTAAATTCCTGGTGGCAGCCAAATATACCTAGTTTTACAGAAATAAAGAGCACTTTTAAAGAGAAACCTAGACCTCCCCAATAGCTGTTCTTGAAAAAGAGCAGTTTCTGTCAGAGCTGTCTCAGCCCCACCTACCTCACAGGGTGTCTGTTGTGGGAAGGGGAAGGGAAAGCAGTTTGTAAGCCGCTCTGAGAGTCCTTTGGGTAGTGAAGGGCGGGGTATAAATCCAATCTCTTTGTCTCTTCTACAAGGAAGAATATTTACTTTTTTATAACAGCTTATCACATGTTTATGTTTTAAAGGTGGACAACAATTTTTAAAATATACTAAAAAGGAACAGATTAAAGTTACCGAATCTGTTTAACTTTGGTCATTTAACTATGGTCATTAAAAGCAAGCACACCAAATGTAGTAAGATGAAGACTGCAATTACTAAGTCTTAAAACTATACTTCTGAGTAAATAAATTTGGAATTGGAAGAAGAGATTGGATTTATACCCCACCATTCACTAATTGAAGAAGTCTCAGAGCGGCTTACAATCCCTTTCCCTTCCCCTCCCCACAACAGACACCGTATGAGGTAGGTGGGGCTGAGACAGCTCTCTCAAGAACTGCCACTGAGAGAACAGCTCTGAAAGAACTTTATGACTGACCCAAGGTCACAGCAGCAGCAGCTTGTGGAGGAGTGGGAAATCAAATCCGGGTCTCCCAGATTTAGAGACCGTGCTCTTAACCACTGTTAATTAACTATCAAGCACACTCCTAGCATCTTTTTTTTATATATTGGCACTGTAGCCCTTTCCCAACTTTGCTCACCCAGTTTCTTCACTAGTTTCTTGTTCTTATTGAGTTTCTTCAGAGCCTCTATGTCCATGTGAGGGATATCCACTGCTTTGGCTTCATCACAGTGCTGCTGGTCCCCCAGCAAACAGATTGAGAATTTAGGCCGGGGAGCAGACTTGAGCCTAAGTAGAAGGAGGTAAAAATCAAGCATGCACTAAACATCTGCGGCAATGCAAATATGCAAACCAGTCAAACCATGACTGAAACCCCTTACTAGTAACACAGTGTTCATCATGTGTAATGTATTTATAGTTTATATTGTAATTTTAATGAAATGTTTTATTGTATATCTATATCTATGTTGTTAGCCGCCCTGAACCTGCCGAAAAGCAGGGAGGGGGGGATATAAATATAATTATAATAATAATCACTGTCACCCTCTGGATTATTAATGTGGTTGGTGGGATTCACAAGAGCAATTTACCACACCTCCCTATCTATTCATGCCTACTTTCAAATCACAGAATCACATGGGGAAACCTGAACTATCCGGAATATTCAGCACCCAGTCTATAAACTGCGTTGATAGGCATATTACGTTCAAGGATATATAATTGGCAGAAAGATGAAGGCTGAAGACTCAGCTGAATCAGAATAGCTCCAGACCTGACAGTGCCAGAAAAACGCTTGTCCTTCTGTGGATCATAGTTTTTCAGACTGATCTGCAGCTCCACAGTTTCCAAGAACCTAATGAAACAGAGAGAAGTTTTATTTTATTTTGCAGCAAAACTCAAAGTTGAGAAACCAAATACCACAGGACTAGCAACTGGAAAAAAATATGGCATTTGGCGCTAAGCACAAAAACTCTCATTTGTACAGAACCTCACAGACACAAAGACATCAAAGTACTCATACTTGCGTGGTTTTGCCTGACTTCCCTGAAGGACCTCTCGTACTGCTTCATACAGAGTGTCACGAGAAACTTTGCTGCTGTGGATTTGAAGAGCACATACATCAGTCAAGCATGCGATTTCCCTATGCAGCTGCTGGATATTTATCAAGACCAATATTTGACATTATTTTCCCCACAACTACAAGTTCACTTTCCTTGAACTTTTATCCCAGTTAGTGAAAAACACTTCTTATAAATTGTAGGCAACAGCTAAAGCCCATTTCACCCCGAAAAGATCCTTCACAGCAAGGATCTTACCCAGGGATACAACCAGTGTTCCCTCTAAGGTGAGTTAGTGTGAGCTAGCTCACAGTTCTTTAGCCTCCAGCTCACACATTCTTGTCTTAGCTCAGGAAGGATGGCTCCAAAGCAAACTAATTTATGCAGCAGCCAAATCGCTCGCTCACAACTTTTAACGCCAGTAGGTCACAAAGTAGAATTTTTGCTCACACGACTTCACAGATTAGAGGGAGCACTGGATGCAGCAAGATGTAATATGTGACAGGGGCGTAAATAACTTGCTCTAGTTCTGGTCTATAATAATCTTGTTAAAAGCCAATGGAATCTAATATGTAGTGGTTATGGTGTCAGACTAGGATCTGAGAGCACAAATTCAAATCATCACTCTGCCATGAAGCTCGCTGGTGTCCTTGGGTCAATCACTGTCTCTCAGACTAACTCAATTTAAAGGGCTGTTGTGAAGACAAAATGGCAGAAGAGAGAACAATATATGCTGCCCTGAGCTTCTTGGAGGAGGAGTGGGATTAAAAATGTATTAAATTTCATACAGAAAGCTGCTTTATACAGTGTCAGACTACTGATTTATCTAGCTTAGTAATGTCTGCTCTGACTGGAAACTATTCTCCAGAACCTCAGACAGAGCACTCTCTCAACTCACAGTACCAAGATCCTTTAACTGGAAATATCACAGATTGACTCTAAGATCTTCTGCACACAAAATCATGAGTGTATCACTGAGTTATTGTGCCTTCCCTACTGTTGACAGCATATTCAACTTTTTGGTTATACCAGTACAGGAAATATACAAAAACCACAGAGAGAGACATTGCAGATTGATATCACTTTGGCATGTTGACTTCAACACACTTCTTTTCTCTTGCCTTATATTTAAAAGCTGAAATATTTGCTACAAGTTTCTTTTTAAGGAACAGTCAGCATGTACTTGCTTCATAAAGTATAATGTAGAAATATTCACAAGACAGACTTCTTTGCAGCCCTCCTTCCCCAGCCATTGTTCTTAGCATCACAGTGCTGCTAGTTTTAAGCTCAGCATATGTAGATGGTTCTCAGACAATGTGAACAGGCTACTTAAGGAAGCATTTCTTCCAATACAGAAGTGTTTAAGAGAAAAGGTAACCCGTATTTTCAGAGCTACACATGAGGAAAAGCAGGGCAAGAGTCAAAGGAGGGAAATGAAAGGGTCTAGTTAAGAATTTACATGTATAGAGTCCGCTTGTGGACATTTCAGAAACAGGGAGAACAGTTTTGTATACTTCTTTTTGCAATAATAAAGACCATGTTACATTAAACCAGCAGCTTTGTTAACAGCTTCATACATCTATGACAGTCTCTGGGATCTCATCCTATTTCAGATGTCAAGGAACTCATTCTTGTCTGACAAAACCCCCATAGAACCAGAAATACCTTTTCAGTAAACATTTAGTATTCCAAAAGCCATGTTAATATCTTTTATTAAGAACAAACAAACAACACAAAATACTGTGCATATATTCTCAAGAACTTTGCATCAGATTGGATGTTTAAAGGGGTGGAGAGAGAAAAAGTGGTTTTGTCCATTATCTTGGTCCTTTGTCTGCTTTCTGTGTAGATTGGCAGGTGAATTTGAGGAACTGTCATCAATCTGTACCTTTGACTGCTGCGGGGGGGGGGCAGATAAAGCAGTTTAGGACTGCAAATGTGGGGGGGGGCTTTCTTGATCAAATTTCTAACACTAAAAGAAGTGGTTCCTTAGAAGACAAGAGACCATCAATAGTGTCATCAGTGTCAGAGATTACTTTTAAATGATGTTCCAGGCTGAAGTATTAGAAGCCGACCTCGGTAACAGTACTTAGGGCTTTTTGAGGAGGGAACAATAAACCCCATAAGCACAATGTTTTCTCTGTAAAGTCAAAACACATTATAGAAACTATTGGGCTTCGTTTCACACACTTAAAAAGCTACCTGGGTTGCCAGTCCAGCTTGCTACATGAAACTTAAAAAACAAACCAACGGGTATTAAAAAAAACGGACTGCAAAGCGCTTGAACAGCCAGCCAAGCACTCCAGAAGCGGCTTTTCCTACCGGGACAGAACAGCACGTAAAGGAGGCCACGCTGGTGAGAAGCCAGACCTAAGAAAGTCTCTATTTTAGACTGGCTTTCAACGAGGCGCTATCCATACCGCCCCTCCCCCGTGACCACGTAAAGAAATTAATTTCGTAAGGAAGAACACGCAAAAGACAAATGCTAATACTCCCCAGCCGCCAAAGAGCCCATACCTCATGATGGCTTTTCTTCAGCCGCCGGAAAAAGAGAGTTCAGTTCCGGTCACGCGAAAAAGGAAGTTCCTAAACTCGCGAGACATGTGACGTATGCGGGGGGTTGTCTTAGAGGAGGAACAGTTGGGTGGTGAAAGAAAACGAGACGTCAATACGGTTAAAAACAATCAGGGTCGAGATTGTGTGCGATTTAAATAGCAGGAGAGCGGTTTCAAGTAAAACCGAGTGCTAAAAATTACTTAAATTGTAAAATGACATCTCTGTTCAACAACATTGTCTTAACTTTCGAGATCTCAAGTGAGCGTGCTCTTGAAAATAAATGTGCTTTCTTCAATGCTTAATATTCACACTGAGAAACCTACCGTTTCCAAAAGTTATGTGCCCTTATCTCGGACACCCTCTAATCATACGCCATCAACTTACTATCTGGATAAAAACATATCACTATATCTCCAAAACTCTGTTGTTAGTGGACGTGTTGTTTAGCTAGTGCTGAAAACAATTTATTAAAAACCCTAAAATTGCACATTTCAACCAAGGGAAAGCAGGATACTTTAAAAAAATATATGCTGACCAACCTGATGCCGTGGTTAAAAGTGCCTGCCTAGCAGGGGTCATTCTTAGAAAAAGAGGTCATTAGCATAACTTATTTGCATGTGCCACACCCCTTTACATCACCAGAAGTGTGTCAGAAGGCAACATCCACCGCTCAGGCTCCACCCCAAAAATCTCCAGGTATTTCTCAACTCTGAGCTGGTGAGCCAGCTTTGTGTCGGACTCTTCCCAACCCCATGGACCAGATCACGCCAGGCTTTCCGGTCTTCCGCCTTCCTCTGAAGTTTGTTCAATTTCATGTTAATTGCATCAATGAAACTGTCTAACCATCTCATCCTTTGAAACCTCATCAATGAAACTGTCTAACCATCCTCTTCTTTGACCTTCAATCTTTCCCAGCATCAGGCTCTTCTCCAGTGGGTACTCCCTTCTCATTTGGTGGCCAAAGTATTTGAGCTTCAGTTTCATTATCTGGCCTTCCAGGGAACAGTCAGGGTTAATTTCTTTTAGGATTGACTGATTTGATCTTCTTGCAGTCCAAGGGACACTCAAGAGTCTTCTCCAGCACCATAGTTCAAAAGAATCTATTCTTCGGTGCTCCACCTTCCTTATAGTCCAACTCTCGCAGCCATACATGACTACTGGGAATACCATTGCTTTGACCATGCGGACTTTTGTTGGCAGGGTGACGTCTCTACTTTTTATCATGCTGTTTAGGTTCGCCATCGCTTTCCTTCCAGGGAGCAGGCATCCTTTAATTTCATGGCTGCTGTCACAGTCTGCGGTGATCTGGGATCCCAGGAACGTGAAGTTTGTCACTACTTCCATGACTTCCCCTTCTATTTGCCAAGGAGTGATGGGGCCGGATGCCATGATCTTAGTTTTTTTGATGTTGAACTTCAAGCCCACTTTTGCGCTCTCCTCTTTTACCCTGAGCAAGAGGCTCTTTAGGTCCTCTTCACTTTCTGCCATCAGAGTGGTATCGTCTGCATATCTGAGGCTGTTGATCTTTTCCCCAGCAATCTTAATTCCCGCTTGTGATTCATCCAGGCCAGCATTTCGCATGATGTACTCTGCATATATATTAAATAAGCAAGGTGACAATATACATCCTTGTCGTACTCCTTTTCCTATGCTAAACCAATCAGTTTACACTTTGAGTAAAGACCCTTTAGGTTTCCTTTGCTCTTGCAGGGAAGCTACCCTACAACAAGCATGAAAATACAGATCAAGTTAGTATGCTTTTTCTGCAATAAATCAGGAAAACAAAAGATTATTTTGGCAACTACATGCCTGGAAGAGATATTAATTAAAAGGGTAATGTTTATAGCAGTCTTGAGGAGCATGTCTTCTATTGCACCTTCACACACATTAAGATCAGACAAGGTATAATCCCGAACAGAAATGCTAGTGTTCTCTCTGAGCTGCACACAGGGCAAAAGGAAATTTTAAAAGGCCTCTGATCTGCATGTCCCCCACCCCAATCTTGTTCATGCAGATGGCAGAGAGAGAGAATTGAGTTGTGCAGAGAGATGGTCAAAAAGAACCTATTTTTCAGGACTTTGCACATCTCACAAAAGGTGCCTGCAAAGAAGGGTACATTGAGCAGCCTTTACAATATAAATTCATACAAATAAATTATAGCAAAATATATCTTTTAAGCAAGAAGAGTTGAGAACCATTTTATTTAGACAATTTGTTCACTTTTTTAAAGGGGGAGCATTTTCATCATACAGTTTACATTTTAAACAAATGCAGCTAGCTCTGTAAGAAACAGGCACCAGATTCCCAGTGGCTGGGAAACATGCTAAATACCCCTGAGAATAATTGTGAATGGCCACTCTGCATCAGGAGGAACTGGCCACATACCGTATATAGCTTTAGTTCAGTTACCTCTGAGGCAGCCAAGGGGTCAAGGAGAAGCTCCGTGTAGTAGTGCTCGAACAGCGCATTCTCCTTCACAATGTCCAGGTAGCCGCCCTTGGGCCAGCCCTATACAGGGGAGGAAGAGGAGGAGGAGTAGCGGAGGAAGGCAGGCAGGGGGAGAGCCGGGCCCAACCCTCTGGGGCCGTCCCTAAGGGGGGAGGGAGGGGGACCACCACCACCACAGAAGTAGACCTGCCTGCTCCCTGGGAAAGGAGGCCCACCCATCAGTCCCTGGAGGGAGACCAACACGCCTGGCCCAGTGGGGGAAAGGCGCAGGAGGCAGCCAAGGAGGTGCAGGAGGCCGAGGATGAGCTCCTTGCAGGCCTCACAGGAGGCACTGCACCACGGCCGGCATGAGAAGCTTCCGGCTGGTCACATCCAGCACCCCCACTTTCCCCTCCTTTCTTTCCCTTTCTGTTCCTCTGTAGGCACTGGCAAGAGCCCGAACAGCCACAGAGAGAAGTCCCCAGCTGTGCTCCGCGCCCTGTGATGCAAGGCACCCAAACAGAGAGTTGGAGCCGGGGAAAGGCCTGGAAATTAATGACCCGAAAGTTCATTCCTCTCCGCAACCCAACGAAAAGGGGTGGACATGCCGGCCGGCAGCTCAGGGCGCCTCTCAGCACTTGTGCTTGGCCCAAGGCTGACCTATCGGAGGGGACAGAGAAGGAGGAGGCGGAGTCATTGTTGCGCTCTCGGCTTTTCCCACATTCCTGCAAAAATCCCGCCTCCTGTATAGGTGCACGTGGGCTCTGGCTTTGTTGCTATACAGCGGGAAGAGACTCTGAAAGGGAAAGGGATACATGCTTGATACACAAGGTTGTCCCTCCCCCCCCCTTTAGACCTCCTGCAGCGATGCGCTTTACTGGCTGCTCGTGGGTCGAGGAGGACAACGTGGAGGATGCGCATGGCTTCAGGCAGGTAGGTGGGAAAGGTGGTGGCGGGGCAGAGGTGCAGGAGGAGGCACAGGAGGTCGAGGCGGAGCTCCTCACAGGCCTCGTGGGAGTTGCCGGGACCCAACTTGCAGAGGTGCCATGCCAGGGCCGGCATGAGGATGGGCAGAGCCTGGGCAGGCTGGGTGCCATGGCCCAGGCAGTGGCAGAGCAGCTCAAGTGCCAGCTAGCAGCAGCGCTCCACTGGGTCGGCCAGCGGGCCAGGAAAGGCGGGGGGGCTGCTGGGAGCAGGGGGCGGGGCTTTCTGCATGTGCCCACCCCCTGGGCTCCTTACTGCCAGAGCATTGCTCTGGTGCGCTCCGGCAGGAAATGAGCCCTGCTGCCTAAGATCTGGGAGAGACACAGGTTCAAATCCCCACTGCTTGCTGGATAACATTGGTCCAGTCACTCAACCTAAGTACCTTAAAAGATTGTTGTGAGGATATGAATTGCTTCCAATATTTACAAAAGCAATAATAATATAGTATTAAAAGTTAATGTAAATATCAGCTTGAAAACGATGGGTCCTCTTTTCCTGCTGCCTTCAACTTTTTCTAGCATCATTGTCTTTTCCAGTGACTTCTGTCTTCTCATAATGTGCCCAAAGTACAATAGCCTCAGTTTCGTCATTTTAGCTTCTAGGAAGAATTCAGGCTTGATTTGATCTAGAATCCACTTATTTGTCTTTCTTGTGGTCCATGGTATTTGTAAAATTCTGCTCCAACACCACATTTTAAAGGAAGCTACTTTCTTCCTGTCAGCTATTTTCATTGTCCAATTTTCACACCCATACACAGTAATGGGGAATACTATGGCATGAATTAACTTGATCTGGGTCACCAGCAACACATCCTTACGGATTTTTTCTAGCTCCTTCATGGCTACCCTTGCCAGTCTCAATCTCCTTCTGATTTTTAGGTTGCAGTCTCCCTTTTATTTATTTATTGTATTTATTACTTAGACTTTTACCCCGCCCTCCCCACCAAGGCAGGCTCAGGGCGGCTTACATAAGGAAACAATAAAAAACCAATAATATCAATATCAATATAAAATACAGGATAAAATTATTTAAACATTAACATATTGATGGTGATATAGCTATGGTAAAGTGCGTTTAGAAACATACAATGTTTGGTTGATGATGGAGCCAAGGAAAAGAAAATCCTAAACAATTTCAATTTCTTCATCATCAGCCTTAAAGCTGTGTGATTCCCCAGTACTTTTGTCTTCTTGATGTTCAGCTGTAATCCTACTTTGGCACTTTCTGCTTTAACCATCAGTAGGCATTTCAAGTCTTCATTATTTTCCACCACTAATTTTCCACCATTTGCTTATCTCAAATTGTTAATGTTCCTTCCACCGATTTTCACTCTACCTGCATCTAAATCGAATCCAGATTTCCTTATGATATATTCTGCATACAGGTTGAAGAGATAGGGAGATAAAATACATCCTGGTCTGACACCTTTGCCAATTGGAATCCACTGTGTTTCTCCATATTCTGTTTTAACAGTGGCCTCTTGTCCAGAGTACAGGTTGTACATGAAAACAAACAGATTCTGTGGCACAACCATTTCTATTAAAACCAACCATAGCTTTTCATGATCCACAGTCAAACGTTTTACTGTAATCTGTGAAA